GCTATTGCTATTGCTATAGTCCAGATAGTAGTCCAGCTCTCAGAACATGTCCACAATATCACAAACCATCTTTGGAACAATCAGATTGACCAGAAAAAGAAATAGAATATTTTGAAGAATGATTTAAACATATTAGACTGTTCTGAGTAAGGTTTTGCACCTCTTTTCTTTTGATTATTTTAAACAGCATAATCATATTTCCTGATTAAACTACAGTCCATATATAAAGTCTCATGTGAGAAGCCAAGACAAAATGGTGAGTAAGCTTCAATGCAGATATGATCTAAAAATAAAATATTAATTTCTGTACAAAAAAATGTGTTACCTGAAGGTTCCTCTTCAGTAACAATAATCTGTCCGGTCCAAGGGGCAGAAGGATGACCTAAACATATTGACAGTAATTAGTTGAGTTAAGCATTACCCCTTACTTGCCCAATTATTTAACTTTCCTTTATTGTAACCAAATAATCTTAGTATTAATATTTCAATCTGGAAAACAGAAACCATTAAGGTAGTAAAGGCAGATCTCTACTTACTTCCCTGACTCAGTTCATAACTACTATACATACAATAGTTGCATATAGTAGTTGGAGTAGAGACATGAGTTATCTCCTTATATTAGTTACATTATGTTTTCCAAAACTGGGCTTTTCGAAATGTATTGGACTACAGTTCCCATTGACTTCACTTATTTGGGCCATCTTCCATCTCATAGAAAGAATTCAGATGCCTCAGGTCTTAATACAATGTTTCAGTGCAAATTTATTTTATTTTATTCATTTATCTTATTCAATTTCTATAGCCACACATTTTGATCCAAATATTAAAACCATAATAACAATAACAGATTATACATATAAGCAACAAAAATTATCATAATAATTACATAAAAATGAGTAGTCACAGACTTTTCTAACCTTGTGGTGTCCACATGTCCTGTACTAGAAATACCATAACCACCTCTGGTCATAAGTGCTGGGGATCTACAGATCAATGCATCTGATAAGCATCAAATTGGGAAATAGGTTGAGGACCCAGATCATTGGGGGCAATATGCTGACTCTGTAAACCACTTAGAGAGGACTATAAAGCACTATGAAGCGGTATGTAAGTCTAAGGCCTATTGCTATTCTCAAAGTGCTCATTCAGACATCAGCTTTGCACTGGTTCTGAACAGACTACTGTTTCCTCACAAAAGAGCCTCCATCTTAATGCCAGCATGCTAAGACAGACTGAAGCTGGTCCAAGGTGATCCAGCAGAAAGAAGTGTCATGCATCAGTAAATAGAACCATAACTGCTTTGTGGATATTTTATATCACAAGGCAGGGAGTCTTTGGCGGCTGTCCACCTCTGGACTCCAAATGGCCTGTTGTGGGATCTAGTCCTCCCATCCAACTGTGGGACTGTGTACCTCAGTTTTCACTGCTGGAGAGTACAAATCTTTGACTGGTGACTATTTTCTTGTTATGTTTGTTTCTATTTCATCGGGGGAACATCAGCCTCACAGAAAACCTTTACTTTGGTGAGCTCCTTTCCAAATTGGATGAAAAAGGTAAGAAAAGAGGGACAAAGGACTAAAGGGAGGATAATTCTTAAGGGAAAACTGTATCACAGCATTTCTTTATGGATAGGATTATGGTTCTGGTTCTTGTACTGAGTATTTCAGATAATGATATATAAGCAGTGGTTGCAAAGAAATGTTATAAAATCACAAAGGGGTTTTGTTCAGCAAATCTTATTTTGAATAGTAAAAGTTTTGTTTATTATTGTTTCCTCTAGTGCAGTGGCTCTCAACCTTTCCAATGCCGTGACCCTTTAATACAGTTCCTCATGTTGTGGTGAGCTCCCAACCATAAAATTGGTGTCTTGGTTCCTAACACCATCAAAAATATGTGTTTTCCGATGGTCTTCGGCGACCCCTGTGAACCACTGCTCTAGTGGAAATGTTCTTTGTCTTCATTCATATCTTCTAAAAATGTAGATTTAAAACATCTTGTTGACATACATTAGGAAGTACCTTACTTTTAAGTCTGGCTCTATCAGCAGGATCTAATGCTGCCACAGATTCTGAGATGCGTGATGGAATGCTGATACCAACATTATTCACAGCACGGACACGGAATATATATGAGCGCCCTTCAATTAATCCTGTTACAGGGAAGCGAGCAAACTTCACTGGTGTTTCATTGCATTGGGACCAGTGAGTGGTACCAACTTCACATCTGGAGATGGAAAAAAAGCAAGAAAGGCAAAATGACATGGAAATAATAAATACATCTCAGGTCTTTCCAATATTTGCTTATCTTTGCTTTAAAGCACCTGTCTGCTTCCTCTTCCTCAAAAACTGCCTAAAGGCATAGGAATTCAATAACTATTTTTATGGCCACTGAGTGTAAACCTATTGTCCCTTCATAAAGTAAAATGAAATAAATACATTTCACAGATCTTTGTAAATTGAATACATTGGAAAAGATGCAGTCCTTAAAAATCCTTCGAGGCATTCTACAGGCCTATAAACATCTATGCCATCTAGGATGTTGGATTGTAAAGATCTGAACTAGCAAAGTCTTTCTTATGTTAATATACTAGGACTTATTAACCATAATGAAAATAGTTACAGTATTGTACTCAATTGTCATCCACTTTTAATCAGAGTTATTTAGATGAGCTTAGTCTACTTATTTTACTTGAGCTTCTTTTCAGGCTAATGTAAACATGAAGGACTGTATCAATGTATTGACCTGATCCCTGTATATCACTATAGCATGCTTAATTTTATGTACATAAAAATAATGTTTTGTTTCAGACATTATGTTCTATGTGTAAAAATTTACAGCTTAAAGTAGGGTTTTTTAAATTTGATGAGACCAAGTGAAAGCATTATCAAAACTAACTCCAGATTTTGTTTCTATTTTGTGTACGCAAACCTACAAAGGGCAGCTGTGACATTACAAAGTTTGAAAATTCCCATGATAAATAGATTAAAATTTAATTACTGTATTAAAACTATATGATGAATTTATTTTTTCTTGCTTTAATCTCAATTAAATTATTAGTTTTGTTCATAGGTGAAGAGGTATCATGTAAGTTCATTTATCATTTTATGTTTGTTTGAAGGTTAGAGTTACTGGGTTATCAACTGATGTGGTATTAGGTGAAATAGTGAAATTCCACATTGTAATCAGTGAAACAGAGATAAAAAGATATTAAAATACTTAAATATATATATGTAGCATTATGATTACATGTATTACCAGTGTAGTAAGTCATATTCTAGAATATGTGTTAACTTAGTAACAAAATAAAAAATGAGTGGGGGAATTCAAAAATGTTTACTACCAGTTTTCTGTGGGTGTGGCTTTGTGGGCGAGGCAAGAGAAGGATACTGCAAAATCCCCATTCCCTTCCCACTCTCAAAATTTCTGTTGCTGGCTCTCCAAAACCTGTCAAAGCTGGCTAAATACCACCTCTTTAACAAATCCAATATTGTAATCAGATACACTGAAACTTCTTAATCCAAATTTTCCTTACAGTCATATTGTCAAAGAGATTACATATCCCGGTCTATCATAAATACTAACTTATCAATGAAATATCCTAAAATAGGATGTCCACCATCAACAGCTGGTTGTTTCCAAGAGATGATGACATAATCTTTGTTAGCATCCAAACACTTCACATCTAAGGGAGAACCAGGGACTCCTGCTATATCAGCATCAGCATCTACATGGAAGGAGACATGCTTTTAAGAATATGACTGTTAACAGAATAGGTTCTATTACCTTATTAGTACAGTTTTAATTTTTCACTAATTTATCTATAAGTGATGTCATAATAAAAACACAGTTATTAAGAATAATAAGAAACTATTTTTGATTACACTTTCTCTCCCTCAGTTCATCCAATCAATGACCCAATATCCATGCAAATACATTACATTGCTGACTGATAACATCTATTATTAAAATTTAGAATATCAATATTGCAAGCATGACATTATTTGGCTTTCATACAACCTTTATTATAAGATTAGAAAGAAGAAACTTTTTTCCATTTAGATCAAAATGTTTGTTATACAATGTAGGTTTTGGTCTTAAGCTGATTGCTTAATATTGAAGTCATACACAACACACACAAGCATGCTAATAAAATAAAGAAAAACAGATAAGTAGATTATATTTTACAAAAGTTAAAGTATTGGGAAAAAAGGGGGGAAGAAAAAAAATCTATTGATTTTTTAAGTTCCACTTTTATGTACCTATATCTGCTAATTTGCTGTACTATAAAACTTTAAAGCCTCCTTAGAAGCCAGGCTGTGGTTGTATTTGCAGGCTGTACAATATATGGTGTATTGTATGTGTGGGAATCATTCTTCCTTAAATTTGGTTAGTCTTTTGTCACACACACACACATTTTTCCATTACTGCATGGAATAGAATTCCATTTCTCCATGTCTGTTTCCAATCAGATATTGTTGGAATTTTAACTCTTTCACTGGCTCACGTTATTTGTGAAATTACAAATAGCTATCTCTTGGTAATATTCTATATTTATGATGATATATATTTTTGATCATGTTCAATAAGAGGAGTGCTATTTCCCAGGACCTGCTGACCTGGCGCCATTCTGGACTTGATCAAAGAGTCAAGAATTTGAAGGGTATCATTGAAAAGTTGGCATTACTCTCTTCAGCTGCTTTCAACAGCTGACACTGTGATATTGAGGCACTGCATGGACTAGTGAAATGTGATCATCCAACACTTGTGCAACAGAAATTCCAGAACTTGTTCAAAGTATGAGCTCCCTAGTGAAATGCATCATCTGTACAAAAATCTAAGAACAACCTGATGGAAAAGAACAACATGAATATCTATAGTTAACAAAGTACAAAACTACTGTAAGTATGTATGTATGTATAAAATTTATAACTAGATAAAGTGATGCTTATAGAATTGCAAGTGTTCGTTTAAAACAAAATCTGTGATTGGCCTTCATAAGAACACATTCCATAAAGATTCTGATAATTCTGAGCATAGTGTGGTTATTCATTTAGAAACCATAGATCTCAAGCATATGTTTATGTGATGACACAAAAAAAGGTGATAGGGCTTATTTGTTTGAAAGAATTATTGTTGGGAAAAGAGCATATTCAGATCAGGTAGTGACTACACATAGCTATTCTTTTACCAGGTTCAATCAAACAAAAACAGCCTTTCTAAATCACAAAGACATTTTTTAATTTGAATTTGTGTATGTGAAAGATTGAAAGGAAAAGAGATTTTCCTTTTTGGTCTTTTTACATCAGATGTAAAGATTTGTTATTAAATGTTTTGGTATTTCTAATTTTTGCATTTTGGGATGGTGGCAGGATGCTCCCAAAGTACTTATATGTTTTGAGCAGGGGCTGAATTTGGGGAAATAAATCAGTTACATTTCCTCTTTTCAGCATATGCAATAGACTTTCACTCTCATACACAATCTGTGCTTTAGTTCAGAAATCGAACAGGCATGGCATCTGCTCCATCCTAAACTATTTTTGATCCTTGATTTATTTAACTGATTAAATTTTTATGCCACCCTTCTCCCTTACAAGATGATTATGGGTGGCTTTCCTACCCAATAGAAAATTGGAAAACAACTTTAAAAAGTGACCATTTTCTAATAAAGACTGAACTTGAAAATGATCTGGATCAAGAATGTTGGCAAAAATAATAATAATCCCCAAGTCAGACCAATTGACGGACAGTTGTGTAGTGGTTAGGAATGTACCACCTCCTCGGTTCTTAACCTCTTCTCTGATTCCTCCTCATGAGCCAGACTGGAACTATTATTAAGAGGCTGTAAATAATTCTAAACACATGTTTTGCATGCTTTCCCTATTCTGTTTTAGTCCTAATAATACTACTCATTCCCTTTCTTCTTTTAACCATATGCGTATGTGTATGTATACTACATGTATGTGTGTACATGTACGTACACACACACACACACACACATACCAGTGGTGAGTTCCAGATCCTGTTGCAACCAGTACAGTGCAACGGAGCTGGGTAGCCACCACATGCATGCACGCAGCACACGCGCAGCACACGCGCAGCACACGCG